ATAACTAACACTTCCATATATTCTGGGGCTTCCCTTGTGGCTCAGCTGGTAAAGAATCCGCTTGCAATGAGGGAGACCTGGGTTCAATCCCTGGGTCGGGAAGATCCCTTAAAGGAGGGTGTGGCAACCCACTCCAGTATTCTTGCCTGGAAAATCCAATGGACAGAGGAGCCTGGCAGGCTATAGTCTGTGGCCTGTCAAAGAGTTGGACATGACTCAAGTGACTTAGCATGCATGTTCTATATAATAAGTTAAAGATAAAACCTAAGAGTTCTCATCACCATAGAAGAGAAGGGAGGGGTATGCTCCTACACCCATTTAAAAATTGTTATCTTGAGGGGCAGGATGAACTGGGGGATTAGGATTGATGTGCATACACTATTGATACTATGTATAAAATAGAACTCCCTGATAACTCAGTTGGTAAAGAACCCACCTGTAATGCAGGAGACCGCAGTTCAATTCCTGGGTGGGGACAATCCCCTGGAGAAGATGTAGGCTACCCACTCCAGTATTCTTGGGCTTCCCTTGTGGCTCAGCTGATAAAGAATCTGCCTGCAATGTGGGAGACCTGGGTTTGATCCCTGGGTTGGGAAGATCCCCTGGAGAAGGGAAAGGCTACCCTCTCCAGTATTCTGGTCTGGACAATTCCATGGACTGTATAGTCCATGGGGTCACAAAGAGTCAGACACAATTGAGTGACTTTCAAAAAAAAAAAAAAAAAGAGCGAGCATACTGTATAGTACAGGGATCTCTAGTCATTGCTCTGTGGTGACCTAATTGGGAAGGAAATCCAAAAGAGGGGATATATGTAGGCATATAACTGATTCACTTTGCTGTATAACAGAAATGAACACAACATTGTAAAGTGACTATAACCCAATAAAAATTAATAAAACAAAAAACCACTGTTCTGTTTGCTATAGACCTGTGGAGCTATGTGTACAAGCATCTGTTAAAAAGGAAACAATGGTCCCCAAGTGGAGTCCCTTGTGTGAGGTATCCCTGCCACTGGCAGCAGACCAGACTTAACACCTAACCTAATTACTTACCAAGGAATGTGACCTTTAACTACCCAGCCTGGAATTTCCTGGTCAGCCCTAGGAAATCTGTTGATAAACCCCTTCCTTTCCGCTTAGGAGGGTTAACTTGCCTAAAGCAATGCATTCTTTGCTAATAGTTTCCTTTTTTGCTCCCTCCTTGCCTTTACAAACCTTTCCTTTTCAGCAGCTCAGTGGAGCTCTTTCTAGCCACAGACGAGATGCTTCCCAGCTTGCGAATCATTTAATAGAACTAATTTGTGGTTGTTCAGTCACTAAGATGTATTTAGCTCTTTGCGAGCCCATGGACTGCAGCACATCAGGCCTCCCTGTCCATCACCAACTCATGGAGTTTGCTCAAACTCATGTCCATTGAGTCTGTGATGCCATCCAACCATCTCATCCTCTCTCGTCCCCTTCTCCTCCCGCCTTCAATCTTTTCCAGCATCAGGGTCTTTTCAAATGAGTCAGTTCTTCGCATCAGGTGACCAAAGTATTGGAGTTTCAGCTTCAGCATCAGTCCTCAATGGATATTAAACCTTCATATTTATTCAGTGGAATTTTTGTTATTTAACAGATTTGTTGGCAGTGTTGGGGTTGAAGAAGACTTCCTATGGCTTCAGGAACAATGTGACACATAGGTACCTACAAACTCTTTTGAATACACTGTCTTTGTCACCATTTCCAAGGGTCATGGGGACTTCTCTCTTGGTTCTGAGCTCCACTGTCTTTGGGTTAAGACCCTGAGCAAACTCTGGGAGATAGTGAAGAACAGGTCAAGAACAGGCTTTCCAGTCCAGGGCTTACTGGGTCAACTGGAGTGGCAAACCAGTGTTCCATCTCTAAATTGAGTCCCTGGCCCTCAGCTCCATCCGCAGCTCCCCAGTTGTTTGGAATCCCTCTGCCCAGTTCTAGTCCACGGTCTCTATTTCCTGGAGTCTGTTGGTTTAGTCCATCATGCATTTGAATTGTTGGCGGTGGGCATGACCTTGTCTTGGTCAGTCTGCAGTAACATCTTTTGCTTACTGCCGTTGTGTTAAGGTACACATTTGTCTTGTCTTATGTAAACAAAGGCTATTGTCAACAGCTCACAAGTCAAAAATCCACAAAAATTGGTGGCTGGCAAAAGTCAAGATTTGAAAGGCAGTTAGACTGTTTTCTGCCTCATTCCAAGACTCTTGTGTTAGGGTAGGTTAAACTCAGAATGGGTTAGATTGACAGTAGGTTGCCTACCAACCTCAAGGAAGTTTCCTTGCAACAATGTAAACTGTAAAACATGCACAATTCCTAACCCAGAAGTCCATCCCTTTTAGGCTTTCATCTCCAAGAAACTCAAAGTCTAAGTCAATGGGAACCTTAAGTTCTAAAGGGTCAAGTGTGCCACCTTCCAACATATCTGTTTATTTTATGCCTAAAAACTATGGCCCCAGGAGCTATGAACATCTACAAAAATGGCAACATCTTTTTAAGAGCAGCATAAAATTACAAAAGGCATTATGGGAAGCATTCTAATTAGGCAAGATCATTCATTTAAGAATGGTTCCCAAATTAAACAAATTGAAAAGGATGCCTATTTTAATTGGTATGCAGAAGCCTCCAAAAGATGCCAAGATTCCCAAATAACTTCATTAAAAGACTCCTTACAGAAAACTAATGAAAATTTAAATACACAAGAGATACCCAAAACAAAAGACATTAGGAATGATGTGACTTCTATAGCCCCTGTCTCTCCTTCTTTGCCTGAGTACCCAGGACATTATCTGAACTGCCTTTCCACTCTCAAGAGACTGTTAAAGAGTTACTTTTAAAAATAAAACCACCCAAGGTTATAGGCAATCCTTCTCAGATAACTTTCACTCCTTGGTCAAAGACAGAACTAAGAGCCATTGTTAAAGAAATTCCTAAACCCAGGGAGGATCCACAAAAGTTTTTCAAAAAATTTAGAATCCTTATCAGAGCTTCAAAAGGTAAAGAATCCGCCTGCAATGAAGGAGACCCAGGTTCAATCTCTGGGTTGGGAAGATGCTCTGGAGACAGGAATGGCTACCTGCTCCAGTATTCATGCCTGAGAATTCCATGGACAACCTGGCAGGCTACAGACCATAAGGTTCTAAAGAACTGGACATGACAGAGTGACTAACTTTTTCACTTTACAGAACTCTTACCAGGGCTTATGATCCCGGGTTTCCAGAACATTGCTTATGCATATGTTGGTAGGACCTGGTGAAGCCCAAAAATGGATGTGGGAAGCAGGATAGAATTATCCAGAGGATGGTAGTCAAGATCTTCAATCTCCAACATGGTTCCCTAACAACCAGAAAAAGCTCCCAAAATAGCAACTGATCTTTTGAAAACCATGCCTATAGTCTTCCTTGCTCACATTGCTTGGTCTATTATTCAAACATGCAAACAAAAGAAAGACAAACCATGGCAGACTTTAGAACCCATTTGGAAGGGCTCCTCCTACGATACTCTGGGTTCCATACAGTAAGTAAGGTCACCCAACCTGCTCTAGTTGCCCTATTTGTAAATGAATGGAATTTGATGTTAATCGGCAGGTTAAAAGGCAGAAAATAGAGTTGGAGGCCACTGGCCTGACTGAACCCATGACCACAGCTGAGGAGTTTGAAAGGACTTTGGACCAAGATCGTAAATAAGGATTCATCAAACTAATGGCCTTACAATTGCAACAGCTCCAAGGTTAGAGACCTTAAATAATATCTAGACCTCCCTTATTGTGCCCCCTTACAGGCCCATCATCAAAATTTGACCCAGGGTGTTCCCTGGTGGTTCAGTGGCTGAAACTCCATGCTACCAGGGACGGCCCGGTTCCATCCCTGGTCAGGGAACCAGATCCCACATGCCACAGCTAAGACCTGCTACAGCCCAATAAATAAAATTAAAGCAACAACAACTGAACCAGAGTCCAGTGTCTCACATGTAAACAATTAGGGCACTGGAGAAAAAACTGTCCTCTTCCGTCCCATACAAATCCCTCAATACCCACTCAAAATTCCTCAAGGGAAAGCCCCCTTATGGGACCCTCCCAGGACTGATGGGGCTCCCTGGGACCCTCTAGTAAACAGCTACCAGTAATACCCTTAAACAGCCAAGGAGAAACTAAAATTAAAATTAATCAAAAAATCTTTCCAAATTCTGGTAGATACTCGGGCCATACTTTCTACTTTATTTTTTTTTAATTTTTTATTTCTTCAAATTTATTTGCCAGGAGTGACTGAAATAAAAAATTAATTGGGTCCCATCGTCATCATGGAAATGGCTTTAAGAGAAAACTGGTCAGGTGAATATTATTGCTTCCCATTTTCAACCAGTAAATAGTTGCCATTGATAAATAGACAGCTAACAGTCTGTCAGGAATGCTCAAGATATGTTATATAATACAACATGGCTAGTCACAGGAGAAAAACTAGGAAATAACTTAGGTGAACTTTTTGATTTCATCATACAGGACAAGCACAAAAGCCCCGCCCATGCCTCTGAGAACGTTGGACCACGCGCCTTTGAAAAAGGCTTTGGCTCCTTCATCACGAGCAATCTTCAGCAGTCAAGCGTGCCTGTGTACATGATATCAGTTCCTTTGCGCCCTGACTGCATCATCATGCGGCAACGCACAGTGTCAAACAGATAGGAAGTCAACCCAGCAACTGCTGTGACTGACTGTGCAATCATCCAGCTGATGAAGATATGTGTGTTCTTGGTATCTGGAAGCATTCCCTTGGCAGTGTCATAGATACCGAAGTAGGCAGCTCGGTAGATGATAATACCCTGCACAGACACGTTAAAGCCTTGGTACAGGACTCTAATCCCCTCAGATTTGTAGATCTTAACCAGGCAGTCACCGAGGCCTCTGAATTCCCTTTCAGCTCCAGCTTTGCCCACGTCGGCTGCTACACGGGTACGGGCAAAGTCGAGAGGGTACACGAAACACAGGGACGTGGCCCCGGCGGCACCACCTGATGCCAGATTCCCTGCAAAGTAGCGCCAAAACTGGGTCCTCTTGTCCACACCACCCAGGAAGATCTGCTTGTATTTATCTTTGAAGGCAAAGTTGAGAGCCTGGGTGGGGAAGTATCTGATCACATTGGCCAGGTTACCACACCAGAAGGACCAGACTCCCTGATCCTTGGGGATACGAACCACGCAGTCTATGATGCCCTTGTACTGCTTATCTGCAGTGATTTGCTTGCTGGCATGCTGCACCTGCAGCAGCAGCTTCACCCGCTCGATGGGTGCGACCGCAGTCTTGGAGATGGCCGCGGCCACTCCACCTGCCAGGAAGTCCTTGGCGAAGGACACGGCGGCATCTGTCATCTTGGAAGGAAAGAGTAAGCGGACGACTGAAAGATCGGCGAGGAACCGGCTTGGACTCCGGGGCTCTGGGGCCATACTTTCTACTTTAAACCCCACTCTCATGAAACAACAGATGTCTCAGAGTGAAACTAAAGTTTTCCATTTTAGAGGTATTGAATTGAGTTCAGAGAGGATTTCTATCTCAACCAGTACAAATGAGCCTGGGACCTTTTATTGAAAAGAATTCTTTTTTTGCTATGTGACACAGCCCCCATCAATCTGTGAAGCAGAGATCTCCTTTCTAAATTAAAAAAGCTAATACATTTTACTTCTAATGGAGGCCTCACCTTAGAATTTGCTAACAACTTGAATCTGGTCTTTTATGTTCTTTACAATATTTCCTTCATGTAGAAGAGGAAGAATTACAGTAAATTTAACTGAGGCATTTGAAAATCCATGGGCTACCTTTAATGCTGACATTGGGAGAATGAAAAGTTCAGAAATTATGAAAGTCAAAGGGTGAGTCCCTCAGTCCTCCATGGACTGTAGCCCGCCAGGCTCCTCTGTTCTTGGAATTCTCCAGGCAAGAGTACTGGAGTGGGTTGCCATTTCCTTCTGCAGGGGATCTTCCTGACTCAGGTCAGATCCAACCCAAGTCTCCTGCATCTCCTGCATTGGCAGATGGATTCTTTACCAATGCAGCATCTGGGACGCCTCCAAAATTCCAATAAATCTGACTAAACCTCCCCGTTAAAATCTGAGGTCTGCAAGGGCTCACACCAATAGTAAAAGACCTATTTATTTCATGACCAGTTTCCCTAACACACTGATTTCTCCAGTCTGGAGGCCTTAAGTGTGATTTGTCATATCATGTCACCCCCATGGAGATGGTGATTTGTCTAGGTCTTAAGAGCCATTAACAAGATGTCATTCCCCATTTCCCAGTTGTTCCAAACTTGAATACTCTTATTACGAGTTCTATCTGACTCAAAATGGTTGAGTGTTTCAGACCCTTTCCTGCCTTTTTCAGCATTCCTGTAAACCCAAACAGCTAGTATCTATTTGCCTTTACTTGAGAAAATTAACAACGTAGCTGGACAGTCCTGCCTCAAGAGTTTCCTGAGGCCTTTCTTATTTCTCCCAAGTGCTCCTCAAGATCTATCTAAGCACCCGCCAGTTCCCTGGGAACCCAGCCCTTTTATAATATGTAGATGATCTCATCCTGGGCTCAGGGACCAAAGAGGCATTCATAAAAGATTTCATTTGTTTGCTGCAATAGTTAGTGAGAAGGGACATAAAATATCTAAAGAGAAATTACAGTGAACAGCCAACACATTGGAAAAGATTCTGATGCTGGAAAAGATTGAAGGCAAAAGGAGAAGAGGGCGGCAGAGGATGAAATGATTGAAAGGCATCACTGACTCAATGGAGATGAACTTGAGCAAACTCTGGGTGATAGTGAGGGACAGGGAAACTGCAAGTGTGCTGCAGTCTATGGGGTTGCAAAGAGTCAGACACGACTGAGCAACAGGACAACAGCAAATTGGACACTGTTCATTACTTAAGGAATAATCTAAGAGCTACCTCCAAAAACAGTTAAACTCATTGAAGAACTTCCTAGGAGAATGACACAAGCGAAAGACAGCCTCAGCTCCACGGATTTCTAGGCAAGGCTAGACTGACAACTGCACACTATGGGTTTCTAAATGTTTCCTCTGTTGACTTCCCCAGTCTACGAACTTATTAAAATTCCAGTCCTTGAACCTCTTCCATGGGAAGATAAACATGAGCAGGCCTCTACAAGACTAGAACAAGCACCACAAGAGCCATCTGCCCTAGGGCTGCCGAACTATTCAAAACCTTTCACCAGGACTGATGTTGAAGCTGAAACTCCAATACTTTGACCACCTGACTCACAGAGCTGACTCATTTGAAAAGACTCTGATGCTGGGAAAGATTTAAGGCAGGAGGAGAAGGGGACGACAGAGGATGAGATGGCTGGATGGCATCACCGACTCAATGGACATGAGTTTGGGTAAACTCCAGGAGTTGGTGATGGACAGGGAGGCCTGGCGTGCTGCGATTCATGGAGTTGCAAAGAGTCAGACACGACTGAGTGACTGAACTGAACTGCGGCTTACCCTGGTGGTCCAGTGGTTAAGAACCCACTGGTGGTTAAGAAGGCACATGGATCCGGTCCCTCGCCGGGGGAGAGCCCACATCAGGCAGCTAAGCCCCTACACCTCAGCCACTGAGCCCAAGCACCCTAGAGCCTGGGCTCTGCAACAGGAGGAGCCACTGCAACGAGGAGCCCACGTCCCACAACCAGAGGAAGCCCTCGAGCAGCAACAAGACCCAGCACAGCCAAACATAAAAAATAAATTTGAACAATTTCACCATATTTGTACATGAAAAAGATAACCAGGCCCTGGGAACGCTCACATGAGAACACGGCAATAAGCATGAGTCTAGCGCCTGTTAGAGCATACCACTGATTCGGTTGCTCGTGCCCATCCCAACTGCCTTAAGGCTAGAGCCACAGCTGCAAAATCTGGCAAAAGCCTCTGCAATTTAAACTTAGGGTATAACATTTATCTATGAATCCCACATGCTCTCCAGAGTTTTAACTCTGAATTAACTCAGTATCTCTCTGGGATCAGAGTAACCTGCTCTGAGATCTTTCTGCTTTCACCACCTAATCTGCATTCTAAACACGCTGCTGCTGCTGCTGCTAAGTCACTTCAGTTGTGTCCAACTCTGCGACCCCATAAATGGCAGCCCACTAGTCTCCTCTGGCAATCATCTTAATCCAGCCACATTACCACCTCTACTGGAGGAAGGCGAGCCCCATGACTATGAGGTCATAATGTCCCATTTCATGACACCGGTCCTGATATGAGACACCCTTTTAACTACTCCTGCCCTCATTTTATTTGTTCATGGGTCATATTGTAAAAATGAGAAAAGGAATTTCCAAGCTGGCTGTACCATTACTATCTGATATAAACTGCTTAAAAAGGGAGAATCTCCCACAAACTAAATCAAACCAACAAGCAGAGGCCTATGCCTTGACCAAAGCATGTCACTTATCAAAAGGGTAAACTGTTAATGTTCATGTTTATATGAACAATCCATGACTTTAGGATGTTATGGAAACAAAGAGCTTAAGTCCAATCAAGTCCAATAAAAAATGAGCAACAAGTAAGTGAACTTCTTATTGCTATTCTCTTACCTTGTGAAATTGTGGTCATAAAATTGTTTACACTAGAAGACTAAACCCAAATGCCAGGGACGTGCTCTAGTCAACTTACACAAAAAGGAAACAGGAACAGAATCTGTAAAAGCTATGACATGGACGAAGTCCATTCTGTTTCTACAAAAAATGACCCCTCATTGTCAGATTTTTGCATCCTAATGTCCTTGTACCATGGTAGCTGTCTGCTCAGAGGAATTAAAGTGGGCAAATAATGGTTATAAATTAAATGACCAGGTGGGTTTATAAGAAACCCAAGACAGCTGTTTGGTTCTTCTTCCCTGTTCCCTAGTAAATACCTTTTTTTTGCATCCATAAAGATGCATTAAAGATGATTCAAATTATGACTAAGCATTGGTGGGAAAAGGGCTTCCCTGGTGATTCAGTCAGTAAAGAATCCACTGGCAATTCAGGAGACCACTTGCAATGCAGGAGACCTGAGTTTGACCCCTGGGTTGGGAAGATCCTCTGGAGAAGGGAATGGCAACTCATTCCAGTATTCTTGCCTGGAAAATTCCATGGACAGAGGAGCTTGGCAGGTTACAGTCCATGGGGTCACAAGAGTAGGACATGACTATCAACTAAACCACTACCACCACCATTGGTGACAAGACTTCTATAAAGCTGCGAAAATAGTTTACCAAGAAAGTCTGACTATTTAGGTACATAATCCTAGGAAACTATTTTTATGCCCTGGGAGCTCAAAATTCCTCCCTCTGGGTTCTTGGAACACCTGCAGCTGAACTTCTTTCAGTTGCCATCTAGTGTGGGTCTTGTTGTATTATTATTACAACAATTATTATTACAACAATATAGTCTTGTTGTATTAATATTATGCATGTTTTCTGGGTGAGTTGAAGGCTTCCTCTGATACCCCTAATCTGGTGAAGAAACTGTTAGAAAGGAACTTCAAGCAGTAAATGGAAATGAGAATGTGATCAGAAACCTTTTCTTACTTTTGGAAATATTGCAGATTTTGCTGCTGGGACAATATCTGCCCCCCAAAAGATCCTTAGACTCTCTGGTTAAACTTGTTCTTAAAGGACTTCCTGGTGGTCTGGTGGTTAAGAATCCTCCTTGCAATGCAGCGGACCTGGGTTCGACACCTGGTCAGGTAACTAAGATCCCACATGCTGCTGAGTAACTAAGCCCGAGCCATAACTACGAGCATGTGCACCACACCTAGAGAATCTGTGCACTCCAACAAAAGATCCCAGATAACGCAGTAAAGGTCCCGTGTACCATGACTAGGGCTCAACACAGCCAAATAGATACATATTTTTTAAAGCTGTTCTTGATAATAGGATGTTGCTATTGCTTAGCTGCTGAGTCATGTCCAACTCTTTGGCAACCCCATGGGCTATAGCCCACCAGGCTCCTCTGTCCGTGCAATTTCCCAGGCAAGAATACTGGAGTGAGTTGCCATTTCCTTCTCCAAATATCCTTCCCTACCCAGGATTTGAATCCGCATTTTGTGCATTGGCAGGTGGATTCCTTACCAATGAGCCACGAGGGAAGTCCTATAATAGAATTTGTTCTTCAGTCGCTAAGTCATATATGACTCTTTGCAACCCCATGGACTCCAGCGTATCAGTCCCCTCTGTCCTTCACTATCTCCTGGAGCTTGCTCAAACTCATGCCCATTGCGTCTATGATGCTATCCAGCCATCTTATCCTCTGTCACCCCCTTCTCCTCCTGCCTTCAATCTTTCCCAGCATCAGGGTCTTTTCCAATGAGTTGACTCTTTGCATCAAGTGGCCAAAGTAT